TCAAAAATGTTTATTGGACATATGTACATCAAATTATCAGATATTTTATAGAGATTTTAATAATGTGTACGCATTTTGTTTAATTTTTTTGGGTTCCGTACCAAGATTTTTATTTACAGTACGGGAAGTTTCAGCAATATGCCTTAAGGCACAATGCCACGCTGATTTTTTGTATTATGTATAAACTGCAGTATTCTTTATTATATCATATTTATCTTGATAGTGTATTTTATCATAGGTTTTTAATTTGTTTTTATAGAAATTTATTCAACTATGAGTAACTATATTTAAACGAGAAATTCGATAAAATAAAGTGAAATAAACAGAAAAAATGTATTATGTAATTGAAGGAATCGAAAAAGGAGATAAACTAGTTGTAATTTAAAAACATACAGTAAATTTCGTTTTCAACGATATATGTCTTGGCATTTTCGGTGCCTCTATCGCAGCGGTCGGAGAACTTTTTTAATCATTACCCCAAATTTTTCTGATCTAAGTTGATATTACCCTCATCGCGAAAAGAGATTACCCTTATATGGACAACAATATGTAGCAAATACAATGAATATCGATTAAAAATAATTACTTTTTATCCCCAAAAAATTTATTGGTACCTCATTTGGGGTAATTTACCCCGGTACCCGAGCACTGCTCTATTGTACAAGTTTTATTTAAAAGAGGATGAAAAAACACTTAGCAAGTGCAAATACCTGTGATTCGATTTGAGCCCAAAGAAAACAAATTTTAGAGCACAAACAGTAAGCAAGGTATCTCGTGCCTGTAAAATATTTAATACATCTCTGCCAGTCTATCTCAAATATATTTGTATACGTTTATTTTTCGCATGCAAGTAGTTGCAGTGCACTTATAAATGTATCGTTACGTAATGCAATCTATTCTATGCGAGCAGTAGGTCGAATCTGATTCACCGTTGCCCGTTGCCAGTGGTGCTGTTGTACTTGACACGCTTTGTTTCAGCATCTGGGATAAGCTCAAGATAAAGATTTTAATTTGCATATCGTCTAATATTTTTAATGATTGTTGATTGTTGTCACCTTACCACATCAATAAATTGATCGCAAATTACAGATCTATTTAAATATTTTACTATCTAACAGTAATTGTAATTATGGCTTCATTCACTGATGCATAGCCTTAATTGTTTACTATTAGTGAGATTGCGTCTAATTATCTTTTTATAACAATCGAATTTTGATTTGATTTTGATCAAACAACTTTATAACGCATAATTCAATGCATAATATACTTATTTTGTGTTAAGTATTCTAAGAAACTATAAAGTACCAGGATCAATAATCATTATTTGTTGGAAATTAAATTATCAAAACAAAAGTGTTGTTATATTCAAAATTTTAATATTATATTAGTAAGAATTAGTATAAAATATGCTAAAAACTTTGTATCGGCTTTACCGCCCATCTCACATCTTCAATCGGCCTTATCATATGGTGACCGAAAATCGCCAATTTTTTCAAACTGTACAGAGAATACTTTTGATTTAACAATCTAATTTTCTAATTAGTTTGATAGTATTCTTTTTGTATCACTGATCTTTAAGTTATTGATTTAGCTAAAGTATTTTACTTTGTATATTTACTGCCTTATCTTTGCATATTTTTTTTTTCCATCTTGAATAATAACTTACATAAATATAATCTAAAATTTTTTTTTCTCTACCAATTCCTTTTTTCACTTAAGTATTAAGTTGGGTTGAGGAATATCGTACCCAAAAGTGTTATTTTTGGCAATTTGGTGTAAATACGCATGGTGTAAATACGCTAATTTTATTTGAAATGAAAATATGAACTTCTATAGAACGATTAATTTTATATGTTATAATTATTATGTTCTACTATGGTTCTACTAGAAGTTCTATCTTAAAAAAACTAAAAGTTTTAGATTTAGGAGAATTTATGTTTATTCATCTATGCTTAGGAGATAGTTGAGATATGGTTGAGATAATGCAATGAAAATTTATAAATATCGCCATATAAATGTGTATCTACAAAATTTTAATACCGGGAAACAATTTTGTGCTTAGTTAAGTGTTTTTAAATATTATAATTAAATGTGCAAAATAAACAATGAGATAAGGAGCGAACGTGCATTTTTTTTAATATTGACTTAAAATACAGCAGCACGTGCTGTATTTGGTGAAGATAATTCCGACCGTTTTTTGTAATTAATTGTTGAATTTTATGCCGATTTTAACGAATGTAACTAACTAATTAGTTTTTAAAACACTAAAAGAAATATCTAATCAAGTAGATTAATGCATGCATGAAATAATTGAAATGATTTTCATTTATGAAATATCGGCCTTCATATAGCGATTTAAAAAAATGAATTTTTCATATTCATACGTTAGTTATCAAACAAAAAAACTCAAATTGATAATTAATATAAATAAAAATAATAGTTCTCATCATGCTTCATAGTGCTTATTTATCTATGATTTTCATCATGTTCTAATAAATCGTTAATTTAACGGCAACGTCAGGTTGAACGAAAGCAGAGCTATCAATCGGCGCTGGCAATACTAATGCAAAACACCAAAGCGACATTTTCTGAAAGTAACAATAAACTTAAAATATCATCTTTCTATCTGTCATTTAGAAATTCATGCGATATTAGTGATTTTTGAATATTTTTGTACATAAAACACTAATTATAAAATAATCATTTGCATGATTTTATTTATCTTTGCATATTAAAAGTGGAAGTACGTTAAGGTTAGTGACAATGTTTATCCAGCATCTATATTTTCCAACATGTCAAATTGGTATAATCATATTTCTTTTAGAGTAAGGCTCATAATATTGAATTTGGAAACATGTCCGATGCTCCTGATCAATGCAACACCGTGCAATCGCCAATTATTATGAAAATAGATGCTCCTGATGATTCTAGTTCTAATGAAAATTCATCAGAAACTGAGAATTCTACCTCATCTACGTCGTCCAATATTCCAACAATGTGGGTTTTTGGGTCCACTAGTTCAAAGTCAGCAACTAATAATCCGTTTATATTAAACATAAGAAAAGTGCTACTTTAAGGCCATCATTCTTACGACCCTCCCAATTGGGTTCAAACAAGAATGAGGAATCCTCAGAGAAGAGTAATGGACCATTGGCCCCTAGTAAATTAAATCCATTTAAACGAAACATTGATGATGAAGTAGAGCAAAATGTTAGTGATACTAAAGAAAATGAAACTTCAAGTAGTAACCAAGAATTGGATAAAAGCAATGACAAAAGCAACAAAAAATTGCATGAAGTTACAGAATCAGCCAAATCAACTACTTCATCAACTTCTTCAGGTCCCACCGATTCAAAATCTACTTTAGTTTCAAGTTTTGTTTTTGGCCAGAATGTACATGATAGAGTTGTTACAGAAGGCACTACAGAAGCTAGTGAAAAAGAAGAACCTGTATCAAATAACACAAATAATGCTACCTCATCAAATGGAACTTCAGAAAATTTATTCACATCTTTATTAAAGAAGGAAGTAAATGAAACACAAACTAAAGAGAATCATGCAGTGAGTTTAACAGAAAGTGCAAAGGCATATGAGGAAAGTCGTGCAAACAAACGTAAATATGAAGAAGTGGAAGTCATTACAGGCGAAGAAGGAGAGAAAAATGTAATACAACTTTGTTGTAAATTATTTGCATTCCAAGCAGGTATATGGCAAGACAGAGGTCGAGGTACAATGAGACTCAATGATTTAGAGGATGGAGATTCTAGATTAGTTTGGAGAAATGTTGGAAGCCATCGTGTTATGTTAAACACTTTAGTATGGGAAGATATGACTGTAGAAAGAGCAAGCCCAAAGAGTCTACGTATTACTGCAGTAGATAGTGCTGCACAAATAAAAGTATTTCTTATTATGGCAGGACCTACTGAAATGGATCAGCTACAGGAAGCTCTAACAACTCGTGTTTCTATTGCAAAAAGTAAAACTAAAAACAGCGATGAGCCAAGCCCCAAAAAACTGGCTAAATAGTTCTGTTACAATAAATTAATCTTTGGTGATACTGATTGAATTATTAAGTTTAATAATCTTCTTTAGTTGAATATCACCAGGACTGAAACAAAATACAGTGTAATCATAAAGAACTTGTGTTTTATAATTTATTGTTCAATAACCAGTTTAGCAGTAACAAAATATCTTGATTTTAATTTAAATTTTGAACTTTGGATAATTTAGGTATATAGAAATTGCTAAATAAACATATTAAATGGTATATAGATAAATATTTATATTTATTCAATATGTTCCGTTATAACTACTTAAAAAACATTTCAGTGAAAAATTTTGAAAACTAGTAACTGCGTGATGAGAATACTTCATTGAACTGCGCCTATTTACATTTCAAGCATTTGAATATTTTACTATATCATTATTGGAATGCAATGAGTTCATCATATATTTTACAAATACAAAATGAGAGTTGTAATCCTGTTTATCAAGCAGAGTATAATTAAGTTTTTCAAAAGTACATATATTGGGAGTTTTGAGTATTTTTTTCTTTGTGTATGTTGCAATTTATGTATTCATCAGTGATGCCCTGAAATTTGTCTACAAAAATCCTCACATACTAGGATAAAGTTATGTTTTACAACAGTCCTACATACAACACCTAATAATAAAATTTTGAAGTTATTACAATTAGATGAAACTTGCAAAAAAATTTAATTTACTCAGTTCTGCAATAAATGTTTTAGGTTAAATTAAACAAGTAAAATACACAGTATGAAATATTAAAGAAAAAACTCTTCCATTCATTTCATATGCACATATTTATTTTATGTTTATGTTTACAGTAAAATGCAAAAAATGCAAGGTGACAACAAAGAAAACTTAATTCAAAAGCACATTTGCATGCAACATTTATTTATTGTCTAAATAGATCCTTCATTTTGGCATATATTGGATCATTAGTTCTTAGAAATATCTTTCAATAAATATAATAATATCTAGCATTTAAAATCCAATATAGATTTTAATTTTCGGATGCTGGAAATATATGATAGCAATATTGCTGCTCTAGGAGAAATAGGCACTGTTGATGCAGGCAGCGTACCTCTGTAAGAAATAATATGACAATTAGACAACGAATTAACTATTATAAAGCTATTATATTTCTTACTTTATAGTGACTCCTTCTTCATTATATTTGTTGCTCAATAACATTACTGTTACGGATTCTACCTTCCCTAATAAAGGTTCCAAATTAACAGTCGACGTATCTTGCTCTGTATTGTACAGAACTATTAAGCCAGGATTTCCAGGTTTCAACCTTTAAAAATATATCATATTATATATACATATATACGTACACATTCAACAGAATCAAAAATTAATTCATCTGTTGGATGTTACCATTTTGAACACAAAAAATTTAATATCTCTACAATTATATTACTATATCAACCTCAGCTAATGAAATTTAACTTACCACAACCTGTCCATTAAAAAATGGAAGCAAATGAGAAATAAATCAATATTAATAGTGTGATCGAAAAGCATGAAATAGTTTTCACATAAGTTTATTTAAAAATAATAAAAAAATAAAACTGTACCTGGAATATCCCACAACTGTTTCATTTGCAAACAATTGAACATTAAATGAACCATATTTAACAGAAGGATTTTGTCTTGCTGTTAAAAGAACTTTAGATTGATTTACTAGAGAATTATTTAACCCTAGTAATTGTTCTTTAGACAATTCTGGCACACCAGGTAGAAGCATGAGTAAAATATTATGCTCCGATCTGTCTTCTACATTTTGACTTGAAAACTAAAAAAAAAAGTTATTAAAATAGATATTTATGCATTTTATGCATCTTTTACATACATGTAAATGTGGCCAACTTGTTTCAGAATCTAAACTTTTCAACGATGTATAAATATCTTTGGGCTGCGATTTATATGCATCTCTATTTAATGCAATTAACTTCTTTGATGCACTTGGTAACTGAGGTATAATCTCACTATCTACTTCAAATGTATTTCTGTCAATATCTTCAGCAATATAGAAAAACACCTGCAAAAATTTTTTCAATGATACTTGCTGCTCCTGGCAACCTCAGTTTTTATAGTTAGACATGAAATTTACCTGATTCAGTATTATTTGAACAATTTCTTTCCAAGGCTGAACTAATTCACCAAGCCCAGCTTGATTACTAGTTCTCAAATGGTGTTAAAATCCATAATCATTATGAACAAATCCAGGAGCAGAGCTGAAAGCCTCATCCATTAAAGTCTCATCAATCAGCAGATGTTTTGCATAACGTAATCTTGAATTTTGATAAAAATTTAAATTAAAGCAACAAAAATTTATAATTTGAGACTTATTTTATTCAAGAGTTATTTGTCACACTTACTTTATTCCAGATATTCCAGTGTTAACTAAGTTTTCAAGTGCCTCAGCAAAGATGTTGCGTACATTTGTATTACCAAAATTTAAATCAGCAAAACGATCTCCGAATTGACTAAGATAATACTGATTTCTTTTATCAGATTTATTCCATGCGCTTCCATTTACAGTCGCTTTCTATAAACAATTATATTTGAACAAATACTAATATAAGCATTTCAAAATTTTGATATAAAAATAATAATACAAGATTCATACCCAATTATTTGGCGCTTATCCTTGGGTTCATCTCCGACCTTACCATCAGACCATATATAAAATAGTCTGCATATTCTGAATCACGGTTCTCACTTCCCATAAACATTTTGTTCTCTTTAGGTAAAAAGTTGGCTTGAATTTCAAGTACAACGTGCAAATTTTCATTTTCAGATCTAAGGGAGTACAAACAAAATTGTATATACATTTTGTTTACAATCAATCAAATTGCATCATATAGTGGTATACTGTATACTAGTAAGATTAATTCATTGAGTACTGGAGCTAAATACTCATATCGAATAACACTCACTTGGCTTTTTAATAACATCTTTATATCAGGATAAGTGAAATTGTCCTTATATAAGTCATAGTTATCTGGAATTCGAAGCACTATAGAATTGGAACCAATATCTTTCAAGTTTTTGAATACATTTGATTCGTCTTGGCAGCATCAGAAAGATCAATATCTATTAATGGCCCTTCCTCCCACCTGGAAATTGTATTATAATATTACAAACTAAATCAAAATATTTCAGGATGTCCTACTTGAAACAATTGTTTTCAAATAAGTTATTAATAAAAAGCAAATTTACAAAAAATACTTGTATGCAGGAATCTTCAAATAAAAAAATACTTACCAAGTTGTTGGCACAGGAGCGGCACATTTGGGGGGGCAGCAATAACAATAACAATAGCACCAACAAGCATAGCAGTCCATAGTAGCCAGAAAAGTACACACAAACAAAGTCCAACGTAATACCCAAAATGGATCTTTAGCATATTTCATCAACTCTTCTTACCCATTCCTGTGAAAACCTTATTTATACAATTGAGACAATTAATTAGAAATTATATTTTGGTGATCAATTGCTTTGTCATTATAAAAATCTTCTATATTGCTTCAGGATTGTTACAAACTAGTATTCCCTAAATTCATCACCTGTTGCAAACATTCCACATCAACTTTAGCATCCCCATTTGTGCGATCCCCAGAAATAAATTTCACTTCAGCTCCTTCTGCATTAGACAGCATCTTCTCCGCTGCCTCATCTACATGGGCATCCCCATTTTCTTGCACCATTTTTTTGATACTTTGATTTCTGAACTATCTATAATTGACAATGATAATAAAATATTATTTGCATATAAGGGTACATTATAATTTTTAAGCCATCACTTAAAAAAGAATATACCTAAGTATTTGAATCAAATGATTATGTATAATATATCTCAATATATATTAATAACAATAAGTTCTCATAAATAGTCAGTACTTTTTGCAAAAATTAATATTACTACTATTTTCCACAGTGACATGCTAAACTTATGAAAATATGAAACTTTACAATTTTCTAACCTTAACAAAAAGTGAACTATTTAAAAGTTGAAAGTTACAAGAATACGTTTCAAGTTAAGAATGTACTCATAATACAAATGAAGGTCAAAAACATAAAAACCCTGCGAGATTTTACTTTACAGTTATTACCATAGATAAAGAGAACTTATATGTAACTTACATCTCAATTAAATAGGAAATTTCCAAGTTCGTCACAAATCTATATTAGTATTATCTAATTAAAGAATTAGATACGATCACACTGTCTTTAAACACACACCTATATATCAAATATTCACTATAAAATGAAGACTGGATCTATCAAGTTAAATATCATACAATACCCTACCAATTCACTTTAATAAAATGTCTAAATATATGCGTAAATATCAGAAGCATGCGGAGTGGAACCTGTTGCAATGGCGTTTACATGCTTATTGATTTTTCGTATGATGCAATTGAATATGAGAAAGGCACATGGGAAACGAGTTTTATTCAATATGTAAACAAAATTGAATTAATATGACAATAAATAAAAATATTCTTGTATTAATTTACCTTCAGGAGCATCCTTTTCTGTTAAAGGTTTATAATTCGGTTTCAATCCATCTTCGCTTCGCTGCACAACAGCCTCGGGATCTAGAATTCGAGACGGCATTTTCAACTAAAAGTTATGCCAAATTATTTCTTTATCCGAATTCTTCAAACATTAGTACTCTTCAAGAGTTGAGAATAAAAACTTTTATTCGA